GAACTTTGCATAACTCCTATGTGAATTCCTTAGTTCAACATGATGGCTTAAGGATTATTCAGCAGATTAGTTTATTTTAAATAATCAGTATCTGATAAGTGGAAAAAGAGCGACCCCCTTTCGCAGGGACTCTGCCCAAAGTCCTTTGTGATATAGTCCTGTTTGTGGCTTAACCATTGCATGATGTATTGGCATGATTGAAGCCAGAGGTTTTGCTCCCGTTTGAAACCCACAAAGCGAGCAGAAAATACATATTTCTATAGCATTATTCACGCTAATGAACTATTGACGTAAATATTGAATGTGTATTTCTGTGGTACTTTCTTTTTTAATATTCCAACTTCAACTAGCTGATGGGCTTGTTGCGGTGGCAGCTGCATGTTGACAAATTGTTTGATTTTAGTTGTTTGAAGTGCAATTGATAGGCAAACTTATTGAAATGGTTTTCAGAAATGCTCGACGTTGGCCCCTGATGATTGACCCACAAGGACAGGCCAACAAATGGATCAAGAACTATGAGAAGAACAACAAGCTCTGCGTGATTCGACTCAATCAAGCGGATTACACCCGTGTCATGGAGAATGCCATCCAATTCGGTCTGCCCGTGCTCCTGGAGAACATTGGCGAGGAACTGGATCCCGTCCTGGAGTCGGTGCTCCAAAAGACGCTTTTTAAACAGGGCGGTGCCCTCTGCATAAAACTGGGCGACTCTGTAATTGAGTATAATCATAATTTTAAGTGAGTACTCTCCTTAACTGATGGAAATGGAAGTTTATACCGATTAAATCACTTTCTTACAGATTCTATATGACAACTAAGCTGAGAAATCCACACTATCTGCCCGAGGTGGCCGTCAAGGTTACCCTGCTGAACTTTATGATCACCACTCAGGGACTCCAGGATCAATTGTTGGGTATAACGGTGGCCAGGGAACGACCTGATCTGGAGGCGGAGAAGAACAACCTTATAGTCCAGGGCGCTGAAAACAAACGGATGCTGAAGGAGACTGAAGACCAGATTCTGGAAGTTCTCTCATCGGCTGAGAATATTCTAGAGGACGAGACAGCCGTTCAGATTCTGAGCTCAGCCAAGGCTTTGGCGAATGATATTAGTGAGAAGCAGGTCATCACAGAGGCCACCGAAAAGCAGATCGATATCGCGCGATTGAGTTACGTGCCTATAGCCGAGCACTCAACTATATTGTTCTTTACTATAGGTGGGATATTTTTAATTTATTTTGTTTGACTAGCTAACTGTCTGGTATTAAAACCATTTATTTACAGTGGAACTGGCCAACATCGATCCCATGTACCAGTACAGCCTGGTGTGGTTCGTCAACCTGTACATGTCATCCATCGATAATACGGAGAAGGTGGACGACATAGCGGCGCGTCTGTTGGATCTGCGAAATCACTTCACCTACAGCCTCTATGTCAACATTTGTCGCAGTCTCTTCGAGCGTGTGAGTGCCCATTGGATTAACGCAATTATCGTCAAACGCCGGTCCGATTATTCGTCCTCTGTCCAGTATCCTGGACCTCTAGCCTCGTTAGTCTCGTAATTGCGCATAATCTGATAATGTGACATTTGAAGCGTGGTCCTTTGCGTTTCATTTGCTTTGTGGCTGAGCATCCTGCTCAGCTTGACTTGACTTGACTGCTTTTAAATAATATTTAAGCACTACTGTGATGCCACTTCAGCGAACAATGCAGTTTAAGCAGTTGTCGTAACTGAAAACTGAGTGGAAACTGTGGATAGCCTACACAAGATCCGTAAGGAAAAATATTTGAATTATCAACATTATCAAATTTACATTGAGAATGAATTGTGTGCAGTGATAGCACCAGTTTTAAATAAGATTTTGCTTCATGTACACGAGTGTGCTCTCCTTTTCGATTCGTTTAAAGCCACTGTGCAGCTGCCTGAATAATGTTATTACATTGCTGGTGCAATCAAAGGATGTACCTAGCCAAAGGAAGCCGGGGCTAAAAGGAAATAGTAATCCAAACAAGTTCTGGCTAGCTTTATGCTGTTTTCAGTCAATTATGCCATGGCCTTTGCCCCTCCCTTAGCCTTTGCCTTCGCCTCCTGTGGCGACCCTTCCGTCAGGTAACCTTTGATCCCCAGTTGTTAATTTTCTTGCGCACAAAATGAAACCAAGCGAATTGCTATCGCAGCTTGGCTTGGAAATGCTTTGATTTTGGCGGCCAACCTTTCCGTGTAACCCATTTAATGTGAAAGTGAGCCTCTAAGCCCTGACCCTGAAAGACCCCAATCACATTACATCGCCTCTTGTCCCTTTCTCAATTGCACAGTCAGAGAAATCTTTTAGTACTTTGCACTTGCTTGAAATTGCATTATTGTTAGCTAGATAACATTTTCAAAATGTAGTCAACGCCCATTCTTGTAATACTGTAACTAATTTTCGAGTGTAATGAACTGTTTTCAACTTTGAACAGGATAAGCTGCTGTTTTCGCTCATATTGAACATCAACATGATGAAGCACGACAATCGGATTGACAATGCCGAATGGATGTTTCTGCTGACTGGAGGCGTTGGATTGGAGAATCCGTTTAAGAATCCAACCACCTGGCTGGGCGTCCAGAATTGGGATGAGCTCTGTCGCCTGACCAGTTTGCCCAATTTCAAGGGCTTACGCGAGGACTTCAATGACAATTCGGCTCAATGGAAGCCTTTCTTTGATTCGAAGACGCCGCAGGACAATAAGGACATACCGAAGTCCTGGGAAAAGCGAGTGAGCATATTTCAGAAACTTTTGCTACTTCGCGTTTTTCGGCCAGACAAACTGGTTCCGGCTGTGCTGAATTTTGTACACGGAGAACTGGGTGAACGATTTGTGGATCCGCCCCAGTTCGATTTGATGGCTTCGTTTGCTGACTCCCACTGCTGTGTGCCCTTGATATTCATCCTGACCCCCGGCTCAGATCCGACGGCCACACTACTTAAGTTTGCCGAGGATCAGGGTTTCGGCACGAATCGATTGTTCTCGCTGTCCTTGGGTCAGGGTCAGGGCCCCATTGCCATGAAGATGATAGACGAAGGCGTCAAAATGGGTAATTGGGTGGTGCTGCAAAATTGCCATCTGGCAGCTAGCTTCATGCCCTTGCTGGAGAAGATCTGTGAGAACCTTCTGCCAGATGCAACGCATCCGGACTTCAGGCTGTGGCTCACCTCCTATCCGGCGGACCATTTTCCGGTTGTGGTCCTGCAGAATGGCATTAAGATGACCAATGAACCGCCAAAGGGCTTGCGATCCAACATTCTGCGCTCGATGATAAGTGATCCCATCAGCGATCCGGAGTGGTACGAGTCCTGCACGCAGCCAAGGATCTTCAAGCAGCTGATATACTCGCTGTGCTTCTTCCATGCGGTTATTCAGGAAAGGAGATACTTTGGCCCGATCGGCTGGAACATACCATACGAGTTCAACGAGACCGACCTCCGGATATCCCTGATGCAGCTGAGGATGTTCCTCAACCAATACGAGACTGTTAACTATGATGCATTGCGATATCTGACGGGCGAGTGCAATTACGGAGGACGGGTTACGGATGACTGGGATCGTCGCACTCTGAAAACCATTCTAGATAAGTATTATTGTCCCGCGGTTATTGATTTAGAGAAGCCGTACTATCTGGATGAATCGGGTCTGTACTATGTGCCGGTGTTCAAGGAGGTCGATTTGTATCTGAACTTCACGAGAGACCTGCCACAGATCTCGTCTCCTGCCATATTTGGTTTCCATGCCAACGCGGATATCATGAAGGACCAAAAGGAGACGGACATGTTACTATCGCACACTCTGCTCACGCAGGTGAGTAAAATTTTGGTGGTGTAGAAAAGAATTTTAGCTTGAGTAGATTCTGTAATTGCTATTCTGATTGTTAAATATTATTGCTTCGTATTTGCCTGCTTCGCTATAAAAGGAACGTTGGGTAAGTCACTTTAGAGTTGTCCTAAACGAATACACATAATAATTGGTACGGTTTTGTTGCAACACTCTACACAGGACCTCTATGATCGACGCGTAAGTGCCGGCTACTCCTAAATGCTTTAACATTTCAGACAGCTACTTTAATGTCCTCTTGTTTAACACGCCGCGCTTTAGAAATTGGAGAAACAGCAAAGGGTCTATACAGAAACGCTTAGTAAACGCTTTCCAGAAAACCTTTCCCTACCCACTTACCCCACCTGTCCTCCCTTCCTTGCCCTCTACCAAATGCCCCTGAAGGATACTAGTGCCACCTCGGATGACAGTGGTGGCTCCAAGGCACTAACTCCCGAAGAGGTTGTCACAAATGTGGCCACCGATATCCTGGAGAAGTTGCCAAAGCTATTCGACCGAGATGCGGCCCTGCTAAAATATCCCACTCTCTATCACCAAAGCATGAACACGGTGCTCGTCCAGGAAATGGTGCGCTTCAATGTCCTACTGAACACAATCCGAACCAGCCTTATCACGCTGCGAAAGGGTATTAAGGGTGAGTAATTTACTGTATTTATTACACCCTTGCAGAGGGTATATTACATTCGGCCAGAAGTTTGCAACGCAGCAAGGAAGACATTTGCGCCGACTTAAACTTAAATTCGATATGGTCATGTCCGTCTATCTCGGGAACTATAAAAGCTAGTGTTGAAATTATGCATGTGCAAATTTCTTTGAGATGGTTGTTACGCCCACTCTAACGCCCAAAAACGGCTCAAAACTGTAGCGCCAACACTTGTAAATTTTTTTTTTAATTTTTTGTTTTATGTTGTTATTTTTCTTGCCAGTTTCTATCGATATGCTAAGAAATCTTGAAATTTCTCGTTCGCACGTTCACTAGCTAGGTAATGGGTATCTAATAGCCGAGCAACTCGACTTTGGCGTTCTCTCTTTTCATTTTCAACCTTTTTTCCTACCAATCAATTTCAGAAAAAATCATCTTATAATTACACAGCAATAAACCGAATTATTCATTTATTTTGCAACTGACAGACGGTTCACTTTAGGATTCTCTGTTCAAAACACAAGTTTAGTTTTTATTCAGATTCTGGTACCAGATTCTGGTTAATTGTGTTCTTCACGGTTTTGTCATCTATAGGGGCAGGGTCTTCGTTTGTTTGAATGGGGGGAGCTGCGTCAAGGGGTTTATGGGAGCCTAAGGAGCCTATATACCTTTCCTCAACTTCATATTGGTCGTTTATTTTTCTGCTTTTAGTCACCTTAGAAGAACGCGATGCTCTGTCCGATTTAATGAGAAATAAATTTTTGACCGCCGAGGAACGTACGGGTGGGATGAAGGAATCCTGTTCCTCCGAAGACTGCGGAAGTTCGAGTTCCGTTCCGGCATCGGAATCCGGACCGGCATCGGAATCCGGTCCGGCATCGGAATCCGGTCCGGGTTGGGGCTCAAGATTAAAATCGACTGCCGAGCGCGTTTCCTTGTCCGTGTCCGTATCTCGGTCTAAATCGTTTGTGATTGTCTCGCGGGATGTTATGGCACTAGAGCCCACGGAAATGGGTATCAAATTCTGAGAAGCCGATTCGTTAACGGGTTTTAGTTCAACTGGAGTGGAGTCTTTAGTATCGGCATCCCCAGGAGATGGGATGGTTGACGAATCCAGTGGTTTTAAGTTGTCTTCTTCCGGTCGCTCGTCGTGGGATGTAGATGCTGCTGAAATCCGCGATCCTAATTCCGTTGCCGACTGTACTTGATGATATGATGCTTTTGGCGACACCATACTAGTCCCTGTATTTCCGGAAAGCCCCAGTTCCAATTCAAATTTGTCTGCATTATCCTCTGCAATTGGAAGTTTTGCCACATCAATAGTGGGATTTCTTTCTTCCTCACTGGGCAGCACTACTCTGTAGCCCCTGCCTACAAATGAGCTGAAATTTGAGGCATGCGAAACATCGAGAGTGCTTCTGAGGCTGAACAAGTCACTTGGAGTGGTTGTCAGGATCGGCATGGGATTGATTACTTGGGATCTTATAAATATATCGCTGCCAGATGTCGGGTCACCCGGTAGGGGCTTATCAAAGTTTTCTAAATTTCTTGTGATATGGTCAGCTTTGTGTTTTTTTAATAAGTTCAACATCTGTTTCCTTTCAAATTCCGATCCCGGCAGTGAGATGTCATTGTTGGTATCGAAGATCTCCTTCTCGCGGATGTTGTCCATGCAATGGATGAAATTATGAGAGACAGTCTGGCAGAGTTCGATTAAATCGGAGGGCTTGACGGACGGAGGATTCTCCATCTTGTCAAATATGCTTGCGAACACGTCGTCAAATAGATCGTTATAGTTTTCGATTACAATACGCTCATTTACTTGAAGCCAACGATCGCCAGGAACTGCCCGTCGGATGGCCTTTCTAATAATGGCATAAGCTTCGCACCAGGAATCCTTTTGCGGGGTTTCACTTTCGCTGTCCGTGGACATGAGATACAAATCGTTGTCGATTAGGCGATCTATGAGGTCACTCGTTAAAGTACCTGCTATGTCAAAGGGATCTAGTTCCTTCCACACCTTTGGGAAAAGCACATCCTCCACTACGTACTGCGCGATCAGGGAATTCTCGTAGAGCTGCAGAATCCTGTTCATATTGGGCGAAACCATGTCGTTCAACATTACTCGTAGCGGGACATAGGTGAGGGGGTTCTGTATCAACTTGAAGCTCTCCAGCCATCGCAATATATCCTTATCGATCTGCTTGGCCAGCTCACTCACCGTCTCGCCAGCCAGGTCCTCGGCCATATTGTGCATATCAGCACTCAGAATGTTGGCGAAATACTTATTGGAGATCTCATTGTGGACCGCATTGCTATGCTGGAACAGCTCCTCGTACAACAGTCTCATTTCGTTCTCCTTCTGCCGCAGTCCGGCCTCAGCGGCCTCGCGTCTCCAGCGCTCCTTTTGGGCCATAATCGAGAAAAAGTGCAGCCTCCGCAGCTCCGAGAGGCGGGTCATCTCCTCCGAGAGGAACTGCATCACCCAACCCACGTAGGTGCCCTCATATATGTTCAGCATGTGCTCCATTTCCTCGCGCTTCCTGTCGTTCCTCAAGTGCTTGCTCTCTGACATGTGGCTCCCCTCCGGCTTGGAATGGGGTGAAACTGCACCGACATTTTCGGAATCGCGCCCTTTATCGTAGAGGTCAGTTAGATAGGCCAGGGTTATTTGGGATGCTGCTCTGCCTAACTCGGGCTTTCTTCGCTTTATGAGACATTTTGGTTCTTCTCTCTCCGCATTGGCCTGTGTTCTAAGGCCTTTCAGGGATTCGAAGAGCTTTTGCAGATTGTCCTCCTTGCAGAAGTTGCGCTCGTACTCCTGGTCATACTTCTTGGGCTTTGACCAATCCCTGAGCTTTCTAAACGGACATTTGAGGTCGGTAATGTGGACCCGCTTCTCCAAATTGTCGATTCTCATGTCGAAGGCATTTTGTGATGTTTTCGACACAAAGTTGCGGCGCGCCGGATCAACGCCGTATCTGGAAAGCGGTGCGTAGAACTCGGAGCACGGAGATCCCAACGAGTACATGGGACTCTGCTTCTCCCACCTTCGCGGATTCTTCTTAACTTGGAATTCCAGTCGGCGCATTCCCCGCTGGAACTCGATCTCGTTCTTTCGCAAACCCGCCTGGCGTCGCTGCTCGATTCGCTCGCAGGCTTTCGCAATTCGTGACTTTGAGGCGGCGTGCATCTCCTTTTCCCGCTTGTCAAACATTTTGATCACGATCTGGAGACGCATCATCTGGCACTCTTGAATGTCCTCCTCGCGCTGTATCCACTGCTCCCACTCAAAGGCTTCCAATATCTCCTTGAACTCGGTTTTTATGGCCACTTTCCTGGCATCTTGAAGCAGTCTTTTGAAGTGGATCCTTAGGGCATCACTGAAGGCCCATCGCTTTCTGGCGCGTTCCAGAACCTCGACATCATGGAGTCCTGGTCGGTTTGCTACTGGGAATATAGACGGCAGGGAAAACAGCTCCAAGGTTTTCACACCGTCTTCTTCTAAAATCTCCGGCAAATAACTCATTGTCTGCGCAGAGGATTCCCTAAAAATAACATGCAATTATACTAACAAGGCTCTTAAAAATGTATCTTAGAGTGCACCTGTAAAGTGTCTGTGTAATCTTATGCTTAAACGGTCGCCTGTCCTCGGCCTTGGCAAAGAAATCACATTTGTGCCTTAAATCCTTTTTCATGACTACCCTGGGGCTCATCTTCACCTCATGGTTGTTCACAGTTGTATCTTGTTCGGTAAGAAATCGGTATCCCGGGGCTTTGAACTGACACTCGCTGTCGGTGCGAGGCAGTTTTCCAGCATTGCGCTGCGCTGGGTCATTGGCACCTAGAAAATTGACCACCAAATTATTGAAAGTCCAGAAATACCTATTTTTAACATTGTATACCTCCTCCGATACGCAGATCGGACGAGCTGGTGATCAGACAAGATGTTAGGCCATCAGACTTGAAAGTGCCCTTTTTCCGTTTGATATCATCCTCTTTGTGCCTCGGTGATTTTAGAGATGTGGGTGATCTGTCCTGAAGAACCCTAAACTTAACCTGCTTTTCCAGGCGCGTATTGTAAGTGGGCATTGTGCTTTTTTTTGGTTTTTGTGTTTTGTATTAGTATTTTTTAATGTGGGTTTTGATGAGTATTGTGTCAGCAATTGGGTTTCATATTTAATTAATTTGGGGCTACAATTTCAGTGGGCTACTAAGTTAACTCATTCATATTAGGCATATGCTTCTCTGACAAGTATTACTATGATTGTATGTCTAAATGATTTAACACGAATAATTATGAAACCAGTATATCTTTGAAATACTTCCTTTTCACCAACAGGTTTGGTGGTAATGTCTGCCGCTGTTGAGGCCGTCTACAAGTCCGTCCTGATAGCCAAAATACCTGCAATGTGGGCTGGAAAGTCATACCCAAGTCTGAAGCCACTGGGCAGTTATGTGAACGATTTTCTGCGTCGCCTTGAGTTTCTGCAGGTGAGTGATATGGAGAGTATGCAACGATAGAACCATAAAGAGCAAGTTTTTAACTTTTTTCAGCACTGGTATGATCATGGAGCTCCTTCCACCTTTTGGCTCTCTGGATTCTTTTTCACTCAGGCCTTTTTAACGGGTGCCCAGCAGAACTACGCGCGAAAGTATGTCATATCCATAGATCTTTTGGCCTTTGACTATGAAGTTCTTTCGGTGGAAGAGTCCCAGAGGCAGGGAATGTCGGGACCCGAGGACGGTGTCTTCGTATATGGCATTTTCCTAGAAGGCGCACGTTGGGATCGCACTGGAAAGTATCTAGCCGAGTCACGGCCACGGGAACTGTTTGATACGATGCCATTGATTTGGCTAAAACCACTCAAGCGCGTTGATCTACCCGAGCGTCATAACTATCTGTGTCCCATGTACAAGACTGCCGAACGCCGAGGAGTGTTGTCCACCACTGGTCACAGTACCAACTTTGTGGTGGCCATGTTGCTGCTCTGCAATCCGAATACACCAGTCTCGCATTGGATTATTCGCGGCACAGCCTTGTTGTGTCAGCTGAGTTTCTAGGGATTGCATATTTATTCGATTAAACTATATTTGTTAGGGTCTGGTTGAGGCTCAAGAGGCGTCGCTTACAGAAGAGTTCCCCAAGAACATACGAACTAAATAAATATATTTTACCACTATGTATTCGTAAATTTTTTTTATGTATGCGTATGAAAGTAACGGAAATTGAAATCTGGAATTTGAACATTTATCTGAATTTGAAGACCTGCGATTCCTTGGTGGAGTAGACAATTACCTCTCCTCCAGTGTCGGTATGCTCTTCCTCATATTCATTGTCATTTATGGTTTCTAAGTCATCATATTCGCTTAAGGATTTACCAGTCACCTCCTCTTGTTCCAGTTCTTCAGCTTCTACTTGTCCCTGCTCCAATTCGGGATATTCATTTTCTTGTTCCAAATTGATAGCCTTAACTTCTTCGTCTCTACTCTCGCTCTCATTCTCATCTGCTGAAGGTGCAACCTGTAAAGTCGAAGATCCGCGCAGATCGTCTAGATTTTGGTCGTACTCGGCGAGATCAACAACACTTGCAATGGAAAATATGTCGGGCTCGCGCACTGGAGATGGAGAATTAAGGAATTTCGAGGCTTGGATCACTTCGTTTTTTATATAGTCGTCAAATAGTTCGTCATCATTTTCGGCCAACTTCACTTTCTGATCAGTCCTCTCCAACGCTTTGGTTATCTTATCTTCTTTAATTTTTTTAATTAGTGATAGAAATTGCATGCGCAGCAGATTAGTATTTTCCAATGCGTCCGATTGAGACGACTCCAAATGCTCCAAGGGCAGTCTATTCGGAATCTCGTGGGCAAATAAAGCATATGATTTACTTGCACAAAGCTGCAGAAGATCGGTGCCCCGAACTGGTTCCGGATTTTCGATTTCAAACAGAATATTGGCAAACACCTCGTCAAATAGGCTGTTGAAGGTTTCGCTGGCAATCCTCTCGTTTTCCTCCTTCCAGCGTCTGCCCGGAACGGCTTGGCGAATGAGCTTTCGTATGATGGCATGGGACTCTGTCCAGGAGTCTCCGTGTCCACCATCGCTTTCGCTGTCCGATGAGAACAAGAACAGATCGTTGTCAATAAGGCGATCAATCAGATCGCTGGTCAAAGTGCTGGCAATATCGAATGGCTCGAGTTCCTGCCACAAATTGAAGAAGATCACGTCCTCCACAATGTACTGGACAATCATGGAAGTCTCGTAGCGCCGCAGCGTGGCGCCCATATCCGGAGACACCATGTCCTGCAGCATCAGGCGCAGTGGGGTGAAATTGAGTGGATTCTGGATCAGTTTGAAGGACTCCAGCCACCTCTCGATGTCGGCATCAATTTGCTTGGCCAGCTCGGTAATCGTTTCCGCAGTCTCCTCCTGCACCATATTACCCACATCGGTGGTCAGTATGGTGTCGGCATATTGCTCAGCAATCTCACCGTGGATTGCATTCGTATGCTGGAACATCTCCTCGTAGAGCAACCTCATGCAGTTCTCCTTCTGCCTCAATCCCGCCTCGGCTGCCTCACGGCGCCAGCGTTCCTTTTGGGCCAGAATGCAGAAGAAGTGCAGCTTGCGCTGCTCCCTCAACCGATGCATTTCATCCGCGAGGAACTGCATTATCGTGCCAATGTAACTGCCTTCGTATGAGCATATCAGTGTCTCCAAATCCTCCCGCCTAATGACCGAGTTCCTCACGGACTTCTCAGTCTTTGGTGGCGCCAGTTTTTTGTCTTTCTTCGAGTTACGCAGCCCATCGGGCAGTTCCACAAACCGAGATTTGCGAGCCTGCCAATTGTAGTTGCGATAGGAATCGCTGGAGCTATTACTAGAAGTTCGACGCTCAATTCGCAGTCGTGTTTTCAGGCAATGCGGTGGTTCCTTGGCCAAGTCAGCCTGCGTTCGCAAGGTCTTCAAGGACTCGTACAGCCGCTGCAGATTGCCGTCATTGCAGAAGTTGCGCTCATACTCTCTATCGTACTCCTTGGGCTTGGACCACTCCTTCAGCTTGCTGAAGGGGCACTGCACATTGCGCATGTTCACCCGCTTCTCCAGCTCATCGATCCGCATGTCAAATGCTTTGCGTCCAGTGTTGGACTCAAAGCATCGTCTGGCTGGATCAACTCCATGCCTTATCAGGGGGCCGTAGAACTCGGAGCATGGGGATCCAAGCGCCTGCATGGGGCTCTGCTTCTCCCACTTCCGAGCGGTTTTGGCCAACTGAATGTAGTTGCGCCGCACTCCCCGCTGGTACTCAATTTCGTTCTTGCGCAGACCAGCCTGCCGTCGCTTTTCGATTTGTTCCACGGACTTTTCGATTCGCGTCTTGGAGGCGGTGTGCATTGCCTTCTCCCTTTTGTCAAACATCTTGATCACGATTTCCAGCCGCATCATCTGGCACTCCTGTATGTCCTCCTCCCGCTGGATCCACTGCTCCCATTCGAAGGCTTCCAAGATCTCCTTGTACTGCGTTTTTATAGACACTTTCCTCGCCTCACGCAGAAGTCTCTTGAAGTTATCCCTCAGTGCCTCACTGAATTTCCAGCGCTTGCGGGCCCGCTCGAGAAACTCCACTTCATGCAATCCTGGTGGCTTGTCGCCTGGCAGCAGCTTGGCCAGAGCATAGAGCTCCAGCGTTTTCGATTTGTCTTGGTTCAGAATTTCGGGTAAGAAGGCCAAAGTCTGCGCAGAGGATTCCCTAAATACGACAAGCTGGCATTAAATGGGTTCAGTGAGCTCGCCCTTCCTAATCCTACCTATAGAGGGTTTGTGTGGCCTCATCCTTGAAGGGTCGGTCGTCCACATATTTCGGGAAGAAGTCGCACTTGTTCTTCAACTCCTTTCTTAGTGGCTTCGAGTTCAGCTTGACTTCCTGAGTGGCGAAATCTGAATGGGGTTTTTGCAGGAAAAATATTCCGGGCTCCTTGAACTGGCACTCGCTGTCGGTCCTCGGTAATTTACCAGCATTCCGCGCCGCTGGATTATTGGCACCTGATCATTTTTGAAATTAGTCGTATTTACAAAAAAACAATCTTATTCAGGTTAAACCCACCGGCCGCCAATCGTGGATCTGGGCATTTGCTATCTGTACTCTCTGCTGGGTTGTTGGCTCCTGGAAAAACGGGAAGCCAATATTTGGTAAGACACTTAATTTCCGGGTAAACCCACCGCTCGATAATCGGGTATCCGAGGACCTGGTAATCAAACAAGATGTCAGGCCCCGCCCAATATAGGGCTCCTTTTCCTTGATTTTGGCCGAATCCCCAATACTCCGCTGTTTGCCATGGGTAAATGTGACGCGTTTTTTTTGCCTCAAAGTGTCATCTTTTTTTACCGAAGGTGGCTTTAGTACTGTCGTCGAACTAATGGGCATGAGCTCCCTGTTTTCGCGTATGAACTGCAGGATTCTTTCCCTCCGCAATCGATTTTCCTTTGCCGAGGGCATTTTGAACTTATGTCGTGTTTAAATTCCGTCTAATATCTTTTTTGGTTTTTTGTGTGTTCCTACGGTTTTCGTTACAAGTGTGCTTAGTTTTTAGTTATATAAGTGGCCTACTAAGTGAACTGCCCAACTAGCTCGCTATTATGCCCAAGTCCTACTGGATTGTGGGTAAGTCGGTCAATCTGGAGCAAATACTATTCGCCAGGCAACCAATTTGCTGCTAGGGAGTCCTTTGTTTGTTGGCCAATCGATAGGCGGCGCATAAAAACTAGTTGGAAAATCGAAAATCAAATCAACCTTAAGTATTTATATATATCAATAAAACTAAGATACACGTATTTTCGGAAATATTTATTTAAAATATACATAAAGTAGATAGCTTTAATACAAATTGGAGAAAATGAAAATTCTTATTATAAGCTATAGTTTTTGTTTTTCTATAGGATCACAATGTCTTCTAAGACTTCCTGGGATGAAGTTCGACTCCTACAATCTGGAAGCCATGGCCAAGGATCGTCTTCGGCGTCGTATTCCATGCCGAAGAACTTTGATTCAACAGAATTCGGTGGAGATCCCTTGTAGGTTTTATCTGGACCCTTAAGTGTACTGCTTTCATCGCTGACCAGGCTTTCATCCGAATGTGCTCGGCTAACCATGGCTGGCTCGATTCTCGATGAAGCTGCAAATGTGCGCAAAATTTCATCAAAAACAATATCCAGCAGGTCGTTATAGTTTTCATAAACGATGCGTTCGGCTTCCTCCTTCCAACGTCTGCCGGGAACAGATTGTCGAATAAGTTTGCGAATTATGGCGTGCGCTTCGTACCAGGAAGTGTTCTGGTTTGTTTCGCTTTCACTGTCAGAGGAGAACAGATACAGATCGTTGTCGATGAGGCGATCGATGAGATCGCTGGTCAGCGTGCTGGATACGTCATAGGGTTCTAGTGCCCTCCAAATTCGGCCAAAGACCACATCCTCCACTATGTACTGCACAATCATGGTGATCTCGTACCGCTGCAGCGCAGCATTTAGGTCCGGACAGACCATATCGTGCAGCATCAGTCGGAGTGGAATGTAGTTGAGCGGATTTTGTATGAGCCTGAAGCTCTCCAGCCATCGTTCTATGTCCATATCAATTTGTTTGGCCATTTCCGTGACTGCCTCCGCTGCCTCGTTGGCAGCCATGTAGCCCAGATCGGTGCTCAGAATACTGTGCACATAGTGATCACTGATATCGGTGCTGGCCGCATTCGTATACTGGAACATCTCCTCGTAGAGCATCCTAATGCTGTTCTCCTTCTGCCTCAAACCCGCCTCGGCGGCTTCACGTTGCCAGCGTTGCTTATCGGCCAATAGTGAGAAGAAGTGCAGCCGGCGCTGCTCCTTTAAGCGATTCATTTCATCGTTGAGGAACTGCAGCATGTAGCCAATCAAACTGCCTTCGTAGGCCAAAAGCATGTTCTTCAGATCGTTTTTCTGTATGTCCCTGGCAATTTTTTGGTAGGGCTCGGCACTTAGCTGATCTTTCTTCCTCTTGAGATGTTGCCTAATAGCTTCCTCTTGCGCGGCATTTTCCGATACCCGTGCGTTGTAGAAATGCCTCTCATAGAGATTACTATAGCCACGGAAGCATGGCACCAGTGTACTCCTGCCAGGTTTTTCTGATTTATGTGTAAATAGTTCCTTAAGGCAATGGGGCTTCTGCTTACGTTCCATATGGGTGACTCGCAGCGTTTTCAGCAAACGGTGGAGCGCCTCCAGATGCTGCTCATTGCAGAACCGATGCTCTATCTCAGCCATCCGTTTTTTGGGCCGGGACCATTGCGTCAATTTGGCGAATGGACACTCAATTAGTTTCATATTTATTTGTTTCTCAAGCTCGTCGATTCTCATGTTGAAAGCGCGTGTTTTAGTGGTCGAGGCGAAGTTTCGACGTCCTGGATCCACGCCGTATCTCATGGGTGGAGCATAGAAATCGGAGCAAGGCGATCCCAGCGAGTACATGGGTGTCTGCTTCTGCCACCTAATCGAGGTTTTGGCCAACTGCTTGCTAATACGCCGCATGCCGCGCTGGTACTCGACTTCATTCCTTCGCAATGCCTCCTGGCGACGCTTCTCGATCAGTTCGCATCCACGCTCCATACGCGTCTGGGATGCGGCATGCATTTCCCTCTCCCGCTTGTCGAACATCTTGATCACGATCTCTAGCCGCACCATCTGGCACTCCTGGATCTGTTCCTCCCGCTCCATCCAGAGCTCCCACTCGAAGGCCTCCGCCATGGTTGCGTACTGACTAATGTCAAGTTTCCTGCCATTCAGCCGTTGCTGGTTTAAGTGCATCTTCAGTGCATCCAGGAATTTGTGACGCCTACGAGCTCGCTCGAACACTTCCACCTCGTACAGACCAGGTGGCCTATTGCCCGGCAGAACTGAGGGCAGGGTAAACAGCTCTAGGGTACGGGCTTCGTCTCTATTGCAGATTTCTGGCAAGTAGGCCACGGTTTGCGCGGAGGATTCTCTAAGGATTGGTTTGAGGAATAGCCGCCTTTACTGTACTTAAATTCGGTTACCTATATAGGGTCTGGGTGGTTTTATCCTTGAATGGCGAAGGGTCCACATATTTCGGAAAGAAATCGCATTTATTCCTCAATTCCAGCCGCTTCGGCTTGGTGGGCTTTAGGAAAACTTCCTGGCAGCTGATGTTTGCATTATGTCCTTTTAGAAAAAATACACCCGGTGCATTAAATTGGCATTCCTCGTCGTCGCGAGGCTGCTTTCCAGTTCTTCGTATGACGGGGTTATTCTCGCCTTGGAAAATACAAATTTGCTAATTTATGAAAATATAATTTACTACACAACTGCAACTCACCGGCGGCCAATCGCTGGTCCTGTAAAGAAGTTGCAATTAAACATGATTTGAGATTCCTTTTCGCAGTTCCTGTCTTTTTTGGAGGCGGTTTCTTTTGAATCGCAGGGGCTTTTTCCCTTGGGACATCAACAGATTGGGGGGACTCTCGGTTTTCTTCAAGAAATTTTAGTATCCGTTCCTTTCGTTCCTCCGCTAAAATCTCTTTTTTCGCCAGCTTGCGTTCTCGCATTTTCAAAGTGCATAATTTGTTGAAAGTTGAGTATCGGAAATTGATTTTTCATTTAGCAGTAGTTCGCATAGCCTGCTGTTGCTCACAATAATTGAATTTCGGTAAAAGCGAATTTTTTTCACCTTTCCAAACTTTAAATTTGAATTAATTAAATCACATAATCACTTTGGACGGCAGTCAGACTAATCTAAGTAAGTAATCGAACAAAAAGGTATTGAAAAAGTTAATTGGTTCGGAAAAGGGGCGGTAGGGAAGGTGCTAGTTCTTTAATTTTTGCTATATTTAATAACTATTGAATGTAAATATAAACTATTAAATATATTTTAAGGAACTTTTATAAATAAAACGTTATTTAAGTGTGCTGTAATCAACAGTTAAAAGTTTTAATAAGAAACATCTTTTCTGCGTTTCTACTCATTTTCTCGACTATTTTCTCTCGTTGAAGATAAAGTCATTGGGATGAAAGGCATATAATTATTATTTTCTTTTAATTTGCATAAAAGAGCCTACCCTAAATGGAATTAGCTCATCAATATCAATTTGAGTCATTGAAATAGTCCGAAAATGTTCCCTGGGTCCAAAGACATGTCCTGGCTTAGAAAGTGAGGGCCATAGTGAGATGTATACAAATGACCCCAAATGGGTTGCCTTCCTTAAAATCTGACCCACCACCTCGACAGGACGTTAATCATTTATTATCCGACATGTCTGTGATAATTTAGCTTTTTGTCTTGGCCCGGCTATAACTCATTTTCTTTGCAGGCTTTAAATTTTTTAAGTCATTGAAAATGGTTCTTGGATCGTCAGATTTTCCCCGGCGAGGGCGCAACTAATTTTGTGTAATAATTTATGAGCCAAGTTGGCTCGAGGCTTGGGTGGAAGGATATGCTTTTCGATAAGAAGTGCTTTTGACGATTAAGCGCAACACTCAGGCAAGTTGTGAGGCGTAAATTGTTGTTTTTTCAGTCCCAGCTCGAGGGCTTTAAGCATTGAGGGTTCTTTTGTGGGCAATTTAGGACTGTTCTTGTTTGGAAAAGTTTCTTGAAAAGGCGAAAGGCACATATTTGGGGGAACGTTGGAAAACTTGACCCATTTTGACAGCTTCGCAGATTGCCAACTTTTAATTGGCATCAATTTTTATCAACTCCGCAACCGATGTTCAACGTTGCAATTGCGAACTCATGTTCCAGCTTAGCAGCCACATTAATTATTGCCCGAAAGACTCATCGTCCCATTTCAGCTTCCCGCCTGCACTTTGCCATCAATTACCTTTACTAAGCACTTGGCCCATTTATCAGACTCCACTTCGTCCTGATTTTGCTGCTCGGTAAAGGGTATCACGCTATTCGCTGCCTGCGTGACCCCATCAAAAATAATGATCCTAATTAGGCAACAGCTTTTTCGGCAAAAACTTGAGCCGATTAGAGCCAATGTTTAAATCTGCCAACCCCTTCGTCGCTCCTTTCGCATTACTCGTATTGTAACGTCAACGGTTTAAGATGTATTTATGACCAATAAGGCAGTTTTTAAGTATTTAGTATCGCATTCAAAAGAGCGCCATATTTAAGAAACAAACTTTTAAAAAGGCAATACACTTAACGGTGCGACTAAAAAATTTTTAAATATATTAATTGTTTAGTGTATCTTAAGAATTAAAGTCAAAACCAGCAATTTTAAAAGAATTTCGAATGATATTAAACCCCAGTTTAATGATTAATAAATTCTCAAATTCTAGAACTTGTATTATAATAGGCATTAGTAAGACTGCGACAAATATTACAGCACCATAATGAAATTAAGCTAGAGAGAATGCTATAGTCGAGTTCCCCGACTATCAGATAGTAGATTATTCAGTTAGTAAAAATTTAAACATTTTCTGGAATATCGGTAGAAATTGGGGGAAAAATATAATAAAATTAAAAAAATGGTAAACATTTTCCAAAAGTTTCGCTTTTGGCTCTGGAAGCTGCATGCTTAACATTCTAGCTTTTATAGTTTCTGAGATCGGGGCGTTCATTGATCCTGATCAAGAATATATGTATATACTTTATATGGTTGGAAACGCTTTCTTCTGCCTATTTCATACTTTTCACCAAATTGAGTAAAAGTGCAAAGTATTTTATGTGTGTTCCACGTATTAAATCTGAAAAATCCGCCTAACAGCTGTGAGTTATGGATGTTGATATAAAAATATTTCCTAATTTAAGCGAAGGCAAGGTATCAGATATTATATTGTGTTTAATCAGTAACTTGAGGTGAGAACTAAAATCAATAAATGAGGTAGTTTTATAAAATGAGAAAGATATATTTTTAGGAACATATACCAAATATTCACGATGTGAATATGTTACTATTTGAAGTAGTCCCTTTATCGAAGACATATGTATCTCCAAGCCTTTCCATGCAACAACCTTAGGAAATGGAGGCAGTCTATCAACGGTTTCCTTTGTTGACTTGCGCCTCTACTTGAACTTTTTTTCAAAGTTCATTAAAATCTAAGAGGAAAGCCTGCAATCTCTGGCTAACTAAAATTAGTTCTACGCGAGCTTTGCTCCGTTTTCGCTCGCTTCTGGAAATGAGGTGCTTTTCTATTTTCATTTCCAAATAATGCGTATTTATGAGTAAACAAGGAAATTATATTTACTCTCGCTGTGTCAATATTTGCATGCAATTAATTTTCCCATCCTAGGCGGCAGCAGCATAAGCAGGGTGGCGCTGGTGGCGCTGGTGGCGCTGGTGGCCATCATAAACCATGACGAGCAGTGAAAAATCAAAACCAAACGAAGCATGGAGCGAGGGCAAAGTGCCGTAACGTGTGCAGAGAGCCGCACTTTTCCGAGATGCTGGAAAATGCCAACCCACCACTCACACCCTCACCCACATCCACAGTGTCCTTGCTCCTGGGTCTGCCGCAATTTACTTTAAAAGTATTGCTAACGAAGGAATCGAAGACGAGTGGCTTGGGCATCGACTTTGCGTTTTGTTGTTTCTGTTATTTTCGTATCCTGACGCTGATGATGGGCGATGATAACGAGATGCTCCGCTAAAGTTTGCCAAGCTTGTGGCGTCTCTTCCTTTGGCGCATCCTTTGTGGCGGGTCCGGAAAGTTCGGGCTAATGCCAGCCACATTTTGCTTTCCCTTAAAAAACTTCGTTTGCATGCTTTCGACTTTTTTAATTAAATCTTCGGGCAGAAGACAAATAGAATTGGCCAAAGTGCGGCTGAATATTGGGAAATGTTGGCAGAAACCACCACCACCACCACAACCAGCCGGAACCAAGGAAACAGTGAACTCCTCCCAAAAATGAAGCCATTAAACTATATCCAACTCGTTTCGCTTAATGGCCAGGCCGTTTAAATTTACAGGCCTCGTCGGGAAATAACAACAAGAAAAGGGATCTCAGGGATTCGCATGGCTTCATTTAATGTTATCAAAAATATTTTCAGGCACTTAAATTAATTTATAGCTCAACGGGCTCCCCTTAAAGGACTAAATATCAATATATTTCCGATTGCTAGGGAGCTCTTATCGGCAGCGCGGCAATGGGAGTTTTAATATCAATCAAATTTACTGCGCAATTTTTGATCTTAGAGGTGGATAATTATATGTTTATGAAGGCCCTGCAGCATATTGATCGGAATTCCGATTTAACTTCATTAATATCAATTTAATTCGAGCAAGTTTGTTAGCAAGGTTACATCCGTTACATCCCCAATGTAAAGCTGGCTTCGCCTACACCCCTGTTTTTTCCTAAATTAATGTTTTCCGCGCAAAAAATTGTAAATCAATATTTATTGTAATGCCCGTTGCTTGTGTATGCCGCCAGCTAAATGAGTTGTAGTAAACAGAAACGAAATTCCCAAAAGCTGAAATATGGAACACTTAAATTAAAAGTAAAAGAAATGTAAAAATAAATAATGTCATAGTTATGATTAAGTTTGATATCAAACGCTGAAAGTGTGTTGTTTAAAAGTAGAATTTATGTTAACACAGGAAAGTGTTTCAAACTTAAGGGTATACAATTTTCGACCCATATCCGGTTAACCCCCAGAAATTCCCCTATATTGTGGTTTTTTGGGATGTTGGCTTTTGTGGTGTTTTGCCCTTCGCGCGTATGTCGTAAAATTTATGACTCGAAATGTTTTGGCATTACTTTCGGGCGGTTTATCTGCGGCCATGTAGCACTCGGAAAGGTGGGCGTCTCGTTAGGCGTGGCAGCTGGTGGGGCCAGCCCCTTCTTGCCTTTTATTCTCGATATGGGACAGGCATAAAAAACAGCAGCCATATTTATATATGAAAATTTGTTTAGATTTATGCACAGAAATTTGCATTTTTTATGCCCTATGCTGCTGTTCTGAATTGTTTTGGGTATGAAAGGGATTTGGATTTGAGTATTCCATCGGCCATATTGTCGGTGTGCCATTTATCAACTACTTCGCCTCGCCGGCAACTTTTTGGGGCCAAACATAAAATTGCACTCATGCAGGCAGCGGCAGTGGCAGCGGCAGCGGCAGCGAAGCAACCAATCTAACCATAACCAACCAACCAGCCATAACCAAAGCCCAGCCAAGTGCATGTGGGCTGCTCCCCCTAATCCCAGATCCTTTTTCGTCCTTTTGGCGAAAAACTATTCTCGCATTCGAAGCGCACATCTTGAGTTGCTTGGCTGGGTATTTGTGTGTTTTTCGACCGGGGAGAATAGTTGGCGGCAACTTCCCAACCCCAAAGGCTGAAAACCACATAAATTGCTTTAGCACCAAAGGGATTTGTGTCAAAATCAGACCAAAACAGTCGGCTCAAAGACAAGAAGCCTTCGGTGCGCTTATCCGGAGTGCTGTCTATAAGAAAAAGTGCCTATGGATTTATGATGAAGTTGCTATTCCCTTCTGGAGAGCTGGCAGATTTTAGAGTGGACTAAAATACCCCTGAGCTTGTAATAGTCCCATTGAAATTTATAATTTGACAAAGTAGTTTTTAACACACTTAAGTAAAAGCGTTC